TGCGGTGATGTCTCTTCAGTTGCCCTTCGCTGCAATACCCACCATAGCGTTTACCTCATGTGCGGCAATTATGGGAGAGTTTGTCAATGGATTGTGAGTGTCTCGCGATATACCCCTACTCTTGGCTTTATTTAATTCTATTTTTTTACTTTTAGGGGCAACAAAATCGTTTCTATCTGTCTGACCATTGTGGTAATTGGCGTCAATCTTTACTTTGTGATTGTCCAAGTGGAGAACATGCAGATCCAAGGTGGTCTACTGGCCTTAGTTTGTGAGTAGTCGTAAATCTTTCATCATTCCGAACTTGCTAATGATTGCCTTTCTTTCTTTTTTGGATTGCAGGCATATTTGCCATTCTATATATACTATTTAATTTATATCTTGTGATACACATGGCCGCCTGCATGGGCAATCAGCGTCTAATGAATAGTCGAGTGAGTACTCCACACACACACACGGGACGGGCGGCACTTATCAATTGGCCTTAAGAAATCAAAAATCACAAATCACATATCGCGAGATATCGCCCATCAACTGGCGGTCTGACACTATCTATTTACGTGACTCTGACCACCAAATGGAGGCTTAGTGTAGGGCTTATGCACTGTAGTTGGGGTCCCACTTCATCTACTGGTACTAAATGGTGTTCTCTGTCTCTCTGTTTTACAGTGGGTGCAGCGTTTTGTGTTGCCAAGCCAGAACAGCTTTTCGATAAAGAATGCCAACTCAACGTATGCCAGGTATGTCCAAGACAATTTCCATCAAATGTCAACCACATCATCACCATACACCCACACGCACCGATGCACAGACACACTTCACACTCACTCACTCTCTCTCTCTATATCTATCTCTCGTTGAGGGAAAACTCTAATCTAACCTTTTAGTAAACTATCTGATCTGCACTGAACTCCTCCGAATTGGCTTTAAAAACTTCAAATTTGTATCTTCCTTCCTACTAATTAAACTCCTCTACTAATCGTTCATCTGGTTACGAACACTCTCAAAACTAAAACTAACATTTCGAAAACATCTTGCTATGCTCTCTCTCTTCTTTCGACTCTTCACAGTGACGTAACCTTAGTTGTAGGCGAATCAGCTACTAACAAAACGGTGAAAGGTCTTGAAACCGTTTCGGAGAAGGTTCCTAACTGAATCATCTTGGTGACTCATTATGGCTAACCTCCCGCCCACACACAAATTCCCTTGTGATATTAACACTAAATCACACGCTTAACAACACTAACAAGTACCTAATAGGGCTCTACAAAACTCTTGAATTTACGAGCATAAGGCATGTCTTTAGGGGATCTACGTTTAGACATACAGCATTTACCCCATCAATGGTGGGATCCTATAGATAGTAAGAATAATATAACACTGGTAAGTCTTCACTGATTGCTTTATCAAGCATTGTGGGGTATTTTGTACTTTATAAGGCTTTTGGACGCTTAGCACGTTGAATAAAGTTTGAATTACTTGGAAAAGTCTTTAAATTTATTGTTGATTGGTCTCGGCTTTAAGTACTAAGAGAATATCATTCTAAACTGGATTCTGATTGAAAAGAAGGATGAAACGGAACACGTATCTAAAGTGGATGGCCAAAGAACATGAAGGAAGACAATTGGAGATCTTTCTACCCAAATATTTCTTATATATTTTAAGTTTCAGAATAGTTATAGCTCTAGTCAACCGCGGATTAGCTTTAATTTAAGGGTTTCTAGTTTGTTGGTTGGTTCAAGGGTTATCAAAAGCACAGTGGGCGTGGTACCCTCAACATCAAATTAATCACAAAAATTTAATTCAAATAAAACTAAAAACAAAATATGATTTGCTAAATTTCTTGTATTATATGTGCTCGACAACCCTGTTCTCTCTTACCTATGTTTTGTGTTCTATCACTGTCTCTCTCTGTTCTCTCTCTCTTCATGTACTGTATTATACTACACCCCACTCTTATACTCTCTGTCTTCTACTGATACCGGATTGATTGATGTTTCCCATTCATTTTGTGGCTAATTGAAATGTACAAAACCTACAACAAAATACAAAAAATATTCCCAATTGACACACAAAAACAAACAAAAACATACACGCACACACGAACAATGTGGAAATGGATTTTTTGGCATTGATACAAAACAATGAGAAAACGTTTTTCAAAATTATTGTTTTTCTAAAGAATGGCGCAAAATATGCAAAATTTTAATGCAACATAAAATAAAACGAAAGATAAATAATAATAAAAATCAATACAAATTGATTTCGGAACGCTTTGAGAACGCGTGCCATGAGAATTTCAATTAAAAATCCATTTTTGATTCCCCGAAAATGTGCTGCTGGCCAAAATCTGATTTTCTCTCTTTGTTGGGGTCTCGCATCAACATCTTCAACTCTGGATCGGACTTTGTACATATGTAAATGTGTATAAATAGCGAGCTGACTCTTAACGATAACGGAATCTCAAGAAACTCGATACAGAATCAGAATCAGAATCAACCCCAACGAAGCCAACTAAGATAGTCATAAGCGATAGATTTATACGAAATTTGTTTGCACTCACTCTTCTGTATGTAAATGTTGTAAAGAATTTATGCTCCTACTCTATAAGTATTAGATGTCCTTGAATCTCTATGTAGCTTATTTATTAGACAATTTGTACGTATTACTTAATCGAACACATTTGGTTGATATTAAAAGATTTGTACAAACCTGTATGCCTGCTGTACTTGATAATGGAGTATCTATGCCTAGTTGTATATGTATTTATTAACTGTAGAATGAAATAAATATTACAAATATTACAAACTCTGCTCCCCTTTCCAGACAATAATAAATACGAAATTCCTCTTAGTGTGTGTTTTGCCTTTGTTAATAACTTTTAATTGTTTCTGTGTGTGTTTTCTATCTCGTTGGAGTTGTTTGAATTTCTATGTCTATCCTATATATATCCTATATTTGTGGGATTTGAAATAGATGTTGTGGAAACAGAAGTTTTTATGTGTGTAACCATATCTTTTCTTCGTAATTTCTTGTGGAAAGAATATCTGATCTACAATGTATATATGGGGCTTTGTGTAGTTCTTGAACTTAATAGCAACTTAGTAGATTTAGGTAATAGCCGAAAGCCATATTAGCTACAGTTGCCTCCCTTCCATGTAGCTTTAGTTTATAGCTTTAAGCGCACAAAGTAAATAAATAAATGAATAGATCTAGGCGAACATTGATGTTGTAAAGAATGGTTTACATTAGAGCTACAACATTTAACAGACAAGGAAATTATCTTCAATTTGTAAGATATATATATGTATATTGCAATATATTGTATACATATATCATTTATATTAATGATCTATTGAAACGATCGATTGGTAGATAGATAGAAATATCGCATTTTGCATTTTTCTTAGTCGGATTGATTGATTGGTCAAGAAAATGCATATTTGGGTGAATTAAAAGATGGGTGGATAAAAGATGTATAACCCAAAAGGGGATGGAGTGTGTATCTATAGATATACATATATCTACAACACAATCTGTATATACATTTATATATATTTTTTTGAATAAATAAAAAACCCCTTTCCAAAAATTTGATCATCAGAATCAGAAACCGAAAGCATTTCCCCTACTTTTCTACCTAAACTGACCGAAGATTGAAGATTTAATCGAGAGAGAGAGATAAGCCACCTACACGCATACCTCAGTCATATCAATCAGCACTTACATCAGTCATCATTCACTTATATCTCTAAATATCCTTTGCAGGATTGCCACGAACGGCGACAACGAGGCGGACGTTATGGATGGCGAGGATGATGCGTAGCCATTACTGTGCTGCACTGATTCCGATGGCAGTGAGGAGGTTTGTTTCAACAACAGCAACAACAACGAGTCCGGGTGCCCCAGCAGCAACGTTAACGGCGGCCCTGGCCAGCATGTGGTCATCAGCTAGCATTGGCATTTGCATTGGCATTCGTCTGCATGGTTGCGACAGCAGCAGCAGGAGCAACAAACCACTCGACAATGGACACAATGTGGCAAAGTTCCCCTGGGCACCAGGCGGAATGGATTGGGTTTTATTGTGGCTTCGGGTATTATTTTTTAAATGGTTCTCCAAGAGAACCGGGGATCAGTGTAAAACAATAACTAAATTCGACTTTTAATGCATACCAAAAGAAAAGCAAAGCAAAGAAAAGAAAAGACCAGAAAAGCACATCCATAACAGATCATCATTATTCGAAATTTTCAAATGATCGAAAAACACTTTTAATTAATGCTAATAATCATAAAGTCTATTAATAATAGGGCTGTGAAATTAACTGAGCGTAAATCGAACCACATTTTATTGTCTAATCGTGTGTGAAATTCGTCTGTAGAAATTGCATACATTTGTGGAACCTTTAGAGAGCAAAGCAATTTTGTGTATTTCGTATTCCTTATTTATTTTATACTGTTTTACTTAAGAACTCTCTTTATGCAATGTTGCACGTTAGTCCATTCGAGTTCCATCATTTTCCTAGCTAGTTCATTATTCATTAAAAATATTTCAAAAATTGTTGTGTACAAAAATCACTATAAATAATAAAAATTGTATTCTATTAAGGATCCATTTTTGATGATTGTTGGGAACCTGTTTGAGGGATTTATATGGATATTTTATAAGGAAGATATGGGATAAAAGTTTCAGCGATTTATGTTTAAACAAATATCATTCTAATTTTAAATTAAATTTTAATCAGAGTCTGATGAGCAGCCTCTCCTTACTTACCGATTGTGTCCACTCATTTGAAGAGAAAAACCTTACGTCAGAAATGGGGATATTACCTAACCCTCTGTAAGGCCTGCTACCAACAGCTGAGTATTTCACGTAATCGACACTTAATTGCTAACTAATAGTTTAATTGATGAAAGCGAAAAGCCTGAGAGATTCATTCATTCGCTGATGAGGTGTCAGCTGTCAGGTGTGGGCGTGGATTAAAACGATAGTAACAATCATTTGAATAGGCGCATCCAATTTGTATTTGGATGGATCTAGAGCTTAGGGAACTATAAAAGGAGTTGGCTCGTTATATTCAAGCTCATCCATTAATTATCCGACAACAAGAACGAATCGTAATGAAGCTTTCACTTTTCATTGGATGTCTGACGATAGCGTTCGTATGGGGACAGCAGCTTCGTAAGTGGAATAAGATCTATCAGAGATTTATCATCTATTTAAGCTAACCAATTTATAGCTCCAGATATAGATAAATGTCAGGCTGGTGATGCGATCTGCATTGCCAAAACTATCACCTACATCTTACAGTCTTATCCCAAGGGAATACCCTCAATTGGACTAGATGCCGTGGATGCCATTAGCTTTCAGAATGTGATCGTTAGCCGGATGGAATCCTCAAAGTTGGATCTAAAATTCCATACCCTCACCGTGCGAGGCTTTGAGAACACCACCGTTCTGGATGCCAAGGGATTCGATGCAGATATACCACGGGTCTTCGAACTGAGTGCTTTTACTCCTCTGCTGCGACTTGAAGGGGAATACGAGACCCAAGGCATTCTTCTGACCATGCCCATCCAGGGCCGGGGACAGGCGTTGGTTGAACTAAAGAATTGCCAGTTTCGGTGCAAGGTGAGGGCTGTGGAAGATCAACGTTTGGATGGCAAACGCTATTTGGAGATACCAAAGGTTAAGTGTTTGGTGGATGTTCAGAGGTAAGCGAAGAACCAGAAGAGTTTTAATCAGTTCTGGTATCTTAATGGACTCTCATTTTGGCAGCATGCACATAAACTTTGACAATTTGTTCAACAACAAGGATTTGAGTGACACTATGAATGATTTGGCCAACAATAATTGGTTTGAAATCTGGAAAACACTGCGAAAAGGCATCAACTCGGCACTGGATCAGGTGGCCGGAACAATACTCAGGCGAGTGGCCAAAAAATTTTCGTATGATGATTTCTTTCAAGAATAGAAGTGAATAGAATAAAATATATGTACATACTCGAATAAATGTTGCATCTTTTTGAATGGCGTGGCCCATCTTCACTTCCGAGACATGAGGCAGAAATTTATAGATACATATATTTGCCACACTGAATTATAATAATAGACTTCTCGTGAACAATGCGGCGACTACTATTACAGGGTGCAGTTTAAGGCAGATTAATGGGCGTATTTTATAACGTGGTATGGGTTAAAGCTCAAGTGATTAAAGCTTTTGCATTTCTCAGCCGATTCCACAATGATAATTTGCCAGCAATTTATCCACCTATATACTATTGCTAGAATCGAGAACTTGTTATGATAATAGTAGCTGGTTTGATTTCCTCATAAATGTTTTCTCGTTGTAAGGAAAACAATTCTATGGATCCAACCAGTTGCCCATCGGCTATGCAAGTGGTTCGAGGTTCGGACGGTTATGAGAGCTTGAACGTTTGTGATCTTCAATAAGTTTTAAGATGCTTTACCTGCCCTTTATATTCTGGATCACTCTGGCGCTCTTTGTCGGCCTGCAATGCCAAACATTTCGTGAGTGGGCTCAAATCAGTGGAAACCGCTTCTAAATATTATTTTCTTTACAGCTGACAAGGTGAATAAATGTCATTATGGAGATGGCAAGTGCCTGGCAGAGTCGGCCAATGCTTTGATTCGTAATTATCCCAAGGGCATACCCGAGATCAATCTGAAGCCCTTCGATGTAGTGACAGTGAAGGATTGGGTGCTGGTCAATGACTCGCGGGTGGGCGGTGCCTGGTACTACTTCCAACTATTCAATCAGGTAAACCTTGGCTTCGAGAACACCACAATCACAGAGATCAAGGGCTTCGATCGGGATCCCACCAAATCCAAGATAGAGATTCATGGCAAGATACCCAGACTGGTGTACAAGGGCAAATACCACGCCAAGGGTCGGATGCTCTGGTTTGTGGATATCAATTCCAAGGGTGACTCGAGCTCGGATTTCCTCAACTTTCGCTTCGATCTGACGCTCAAAGTACGCACCGAATACAGGAACAATAAGCGATACATGAAAATATATGAGGTGGTACCCAACCTACGACTGGATCGGTGAGTAGTTCTTACAGGCACTATGTGTGGTTCGGTACTATATTATTCCTATCACTCCTGGCAACAGCTGGATCATGTGGATGGATGATTTCTTTCCCGATAACTTTGATATGACCATAGCTATTAATAATCTATTCAATCGGAATTGGGTCGAGTTCTGGAACGAATTAGAGCCGAGAATCCTGCTTCTGTTCGAAACGGTGTTTCTGAGCATGTTTGAAGATCTGTTCTACAACATACCATACGATGATCTCTTCCTAGCCGATTCGGAGTTCAATTAGCCATTAAGATATCGGATGTAGAATTCTCTATGCATTTATTTGTGCATTCAAGCATTAAAGTATTCTGACTCGAAACTGGTTCTCCAGACTGATGCACATTCCTGTTAAGGTTGTTGGCCTTATAGAACTCCTATCTATATCTATCTATATCATATCTATAAGTTCTCCCTTAAGCTGAAAGTCCTGGTGGAGTATCGGAACAATAAGCGGTACCTGAAGATGTGCCTATGATGAACTACGATGATCTAATCTATAAAATTAAATAAATTCCACTAGACTACATACATACTTACAATCCATGTACTTGTAAAAACGTAACTCTTTATGTTAGATAATTTTCATTAAAAAACAAACGAAAATGCTAATACAACAAGTAGTAGAGCTTTCGACCGGTTCTACAGACATAGCCCACCCTATAACTAAGTTCTAGTTAGTCGCGATTTCACATCGTAATCGACTGCTGAAGGCGCTGGTACTGAAGTGAATATAAACTGGCTGTAGGCTATGGGAATGCGTGATATATTCACCTTAGTGCTGTGCTTGCAGCTCATCAAATCTTTGCAGGGTCAAATATTACGTAGGTAACTCGATTATTAGACTTTGACCGAGCCCGAATGAATGATCACAATTTCTCTGAAATACCTGTATCCCATAGCAAAGGACATACCAAAATGCCGTTTCGGTGACTCGGATTGCATTGTGGACTCCATGAATAAAGTGATACGACGCTATCCGAGAGGCATACCCGCCTTGGGCATGAAACCCATCGATGTGGTGGACATACGGAACTCAAAGTTCTGGGATAATCCGAAAGTAGGAGCCTTCTGGCTGCAGTTCAATCTGTTTGATCAGGTCAACTATGGCTTTGAGAACACAACGATCACGAAGGTCAAGGGCTTTACTAAGAATCCCACATCGAGCCTGATGGAAATACACGGCAGGATACCGAGTCTCATCCATAAAGGGCGCTACATGTCTCAGGGTCGCGTATGGATCGTGGAATTGAATTCAACGGGCGAACAGCTTTCGGATTTCCAGAATTTTCGATTTGTTCTCAAGCTAAAAGTGATCATGGAGTATCGGAATAACAAGCGCTACCTAAAGATATACGAGCTGAATCCCATTGTCAATATGGATCGGTAAGTGGGAATACTCCTCTCCTTTCACGATTCTAATCAGAGATTGATTTGCAGTTGGGTCTTCTGGCTGGATAACTTTTTTTCAGAGAACACAGATCTCACAATTGCCATCAATCAGGTTTTCAACATACATTGGGTGGAGTTCTGGAATGAATTGGAGCCCACAAATCTGAGAATATTTGCGAGTGTTTTTCGTGATTTGATCGAGGATATTCTGTATAAAGTATCATATGATGATATGTTCCTACCGGATGAAAAAGAGACTCGCGAGAATGATTAAAGTCGAATCGATACACCTTTACATATAGAATTGCATTTATTCCAGAGAAGGACAAAGTTTATAACCGGTTTGGGGGAATAGATTAGCAACAAATGTAGCCCGATCACATTCATGCTAGGCATTTGATTGTTACCAGCAGTTGAGCTTCGGCCAGAGCCAGAGCTGGTTCTAGATAGAATTTAATTAAGTAAACTATACGTGACTAAAGTTACTTCTCGTTTGAAAGTCCGAGACAATATTCAATCGAAAAGTATGAATAAGCTCACTTGGCTGTGCTGCATCTTTATGCTGGAAGGACTTGGTGCACCCCTAGCAGCGGAGTTACGTGCGTAGATGAGCTCGAGGCAATGGTTATCATTTTGTATTCATTGGAATCAAAATTTTCCAGCTGGAGATATTGAAAAGTGTCACTTTGGGGACTCCCCATGCTTGGTGAAGACCATCAATGCCCTGATCAAGCGCTATCCCAAGGGCATTCCAGAGATTGGTCTGCCTCCGTTGGATGAGTACAACTTTCCCGATGCTCCAATAGTTGATACGCCCCATCGCGGCCCCATCTGGATGACCTTTAACATGCGGGACAATGTGAACAAAGGCTTCAACAATGCCACAATCACGCATGTGGAGGGTTTCCTGCGAGACCCCACCAAGCAACAGATAATCCTGAAGGCCCGCCTGCCACGACTCTTGCACGAGGCAACCTACGACATGCAGGGCAGGTTTCTGCTGTTTGTGGCCAACACCACGGGCAAACTGCAGTCGGATTTCCAGAACTTTCGGCTTACTCTGACCATCAAAGTGATACTGGAGTATCGGAACAACAAGCGATATCTGAAGATCTACGATTTGGTGCCGGTCGTCGACATTGATCGGTAAGTGGCAGATAATGCAGAGAGGACCAAGAAGTAATCTTTGAGATTTTCAGCTGGATTGTTTGGTTCGATAACTTGTACAGGGAGAATGAGGATGTCACCATTGCGCTGAATCGCTCCTTCAACAAAAACTGGTTGGAGTTTTGGAATGACCTGGAGCCGGGCCTGCTGAAAACGTTCTCCACTGTTTTTACTGTACTTCTGAACACGGTCTTTGAGCAGGTCGCCTACGACGATATGTTTCTGCCGGACATTGATATACGATTTGGATATAGTCACGATTAACACTGAGAAAAGAAAAGCTTTCATTGTCTTGAATATATCACGATTTATTCAGATTGTATTTGTTTTCCGTATTTATGATACTGTCCATCGGCTTGGAGATCGTCATAGAATATGTGATCGTTGTACGACTCATCACGATGATACATGTGCTGATATCCCTGGGAGCTACTGCCTCGTTTGAACTTTCGATGGTCTGCCTTTAGTTTCAGTAGCTTCTGTCGGATATGTGGCTGTCCCAGATGCTGCAAGGGTGTGGATTCCTCTTCATCATCCTCCTGATCGCTATTCTGGTGACGTTTGCGGCGACGATATGTCCTTCGCATTGCAGGGGGTCGCAGCGGGCGCATCACAATCCGAAATGGCACCATATGGAGGTGTTTCTTCGGCTGTGGCGGCGACGGCTTCTTCCACATCCCTTTGTACTGATCCACCACACTGCAGGTCTGCATGTCCTTGGGCTTGGGTATGCCCGTATCCAATTTGGGTGGACACTGCAGCACAAAGTACAGGTCGCTCTTGAATTTTTTGGAATCACTGCTGCTGCTGCTGCTGCTGCTGCTACTGGTTTCCTCGGTGTCCAGAAGCAGTTGAGCTGCCGGCACCTTGTAGTAGGCAAACATGTTCCGCTCCACCACAATGGCCGTGGCCGTAGGAGATGCCGGTGGTGCATTCAGCTGCTGGAGAAGTCCCAATGCCAATGCCAACTGCCACATGATTGCCGCTCAACTAGTAGTTGCCGCTGCAACAGGCATTGACAGTTTATAAGTCTGTGGCACTTTCAGGCTTGGCTGATTTCTTGCATAATTTGCTTGTGGTTTGCGGGGTGCAAGTTCAACGAACCACCACTTAGGCAGAGACCTTGTTCAATCGATACACGATATTAGAAGTGGCAAAAACGCTATTTTGTTGCCGGAAGACATGCAATTATCTGTTGCTTGGCTCAACAGTTGAATTGTAAATATTTTACCGCCACGTGTTGCAGGCGCCTGCGCTTGGGGTTGCTATAAAAATGGGTATTTTTTATAGAAGCTGTGTTTATGTTTTGGATAGGGTGGGGAGGTCGCCAATTCTACCCCTGAACATCTGTTGCCATCGAAATGCAACAATTCTTGGCGTGTCTGGAAAACATTTACCTTAATGCAAAGAAGAAGTTGTTTGTGGCCAGGTGTTGGCGGGATTTTTAGAGCCTGTCAGTTGTTTGGCATATTGCATGTTGAAAAATTTCTGGGATTGGGCAATCAATTTGTGCATCTAAATGGCTTTAATATATTCATAAACTATCAAAGGTATTTATTAAGTATTTCTGTTGAATATACATACGTGCATGAATATCCTCTGATCGGAGCAGAATCCTGTTTGGATTGCGGCCTTCAGTCGCATATTTTTGTTCTCTAAGCTAGCTGTTCTCTAAGCTCTCACTCTCTTCGTTATCTACTATGCCGACCGAAGCTTCGCGAAGCTGCACTTAGCGATCGGATCGGATCATATACATACATATGTACATATGTATGTGATATTTGAATGTAATCGGTATAATTAATTGGACCATTCCGCTATGTTAAGCTTTTAAGCTTTTTTAATAGCTATTGAGGTTTAATGAATAGTCGAGCAGGTTAGATGTACATATACTAAATGCACATTTATAAGTAAGAGAAAGTGAAAGTATGTGTGTTGTTTGTATGTATGTTGATTGTATGACGAATGGCGGGTATGACGTGATCGTGCAGAAAATCTTAGACGAGAGCGAAAGTGGGTGAGAAAAGGAAACTCTATTTAAGAAACTATCTATACCAAATAGATTTAAGATATTTTTCAAGAAGTAGTCGTTATTTTATATATATGTATCTAGCTGTGTGATACCTCTTTGCTTCAATATCCAATTTAGGATAAACCAATTTCCAATCGAATTATAATGATTGACGCGCCGCTTCACTAGTATTAATCTAGCACTCAATCAATCCATTGGATTCGTGCACATCAAACCAACTTTATTCGCACTCAAAGTAGCACAAATGGCGTGCCATTTGTCATAATCAAAAGATGGCGCCGCAACAGGTTGCCCCCAGCCGTGGCAACCACGATAGCAACGACTGTATGGCACAGGGGAAAATAACAATTCCCCAATCCAAAACAGGGCCAAAATCAACAACTACATGGCAACGGGGTCCTGCCACGATCACTTTTCCAGCCAACGGCACAAGATAATTGCCGCTTAAGTAACGGAGCATTCAGTCGCGTACCATCGCCGCAGGTAAGCAGTCGCAGTTAGGAATAAGTAAAACTATGGATACATCTTAGGGAAATTAAAAAAATTAATTTAAAAATATTTTAAACAAATCGGAAACTAATTATAAATAGTCAGTGACTAAATTTTCCTGAAAAGTATAATTAAATAGTCAAGAAATATGGAAATTTGTGATGTTTTCATGGAAAAATCTTGAATTTGATGCATTTTTGTTGTGTTATGTAACTAGTGAAAATTGTGGAAAAACGTTATAAAACTTATTAAAATTTTGCATAAACTGTTACTATTTGTTTGAAAAAGCTGTTTTATTCCATCAGTTAAAATTGGCTTAAGAATATTGACGATTTTTCAAATGAAACCATATTGACTTGCAGCGATTTATTGATTATATGTATATGTAATCGTGTATATAGTTGTTAGTGGTAACAAGGTCACTCAAACACTTAAAGCTAAATAATATGCATCGGCCCATAGCAAAACAGCAGCAGACAACCAGAATAACAACTGTAGAACCAACAACAGCAAGGAGTAGGCCCCGCAATGGAGCCATCCACCAGCGCCGACGCCGCGGCTGCAGCGGCTGGGGGCGGACCGGATCCAAGGCTAGAGCTGATGGGGTCGTTTGTCATCAAGTCACTTAAACTAAAGCCGGAGAAATGGACTCGAGTCATCACGGTGGAGGAGCACAAGGGGATAATCAAAGAGTTTCTGGACAGGAACACCCCCGTGGTCCTCATCATAATTCTGACGCCAGCGGCACAATTGGTGCCTTCGACCACCTTCCCCCTGTCGCAGCTGAAGAGCAAGGGAGTGTACTTCATAAAGCGATATGCAGAGCCAATACCACGAGAGGATTGTGGCAACTATATCATCTATGGCGACCTGGCCACCCGCACCATTGATCAGCTGTCCGCCCTGGTGGAGGAGGTACTCGTGCCACTTCTTTCCAACGAGGATAACTACAGGAGCTGGCCCATTATGGTGGCCCAGGATGTGCAGAAGCATGTGCACAGCCTCAAGAGCACCGTGCACCAGGTGAAGGGGCAGGTGAGCGGCGAAACCATACTGGCCATGCCCGTGGGCGTGGAGAAGATTGTGAAGGCGGCCAAGGAGCTGGTCGAAACGGAGCAGTGCCAGTTCGACTTGTATCTGAAGAGCGCCATTGAGGGTGTGGTCATCAAGTGGGCCACCCAGATCCACGAGGTCATCAAGGAGAGCCCCTCGAACGCCTTCGCCAATGGCCAGAATCCAACGCCACACACGGGTGAGTCAATGCCGCCACACACATGTTTTTTGTGTGCGAGTACACCATCAGTTATTTTTGGGCTGCCTCCCTCCATTTATTATTTATTGATAAAATTCAAGTTTCCAGATATCCTAGCAACCCCAAAAAATTTGCATGTTCAGGCCCATCCTTTTTTGGTCCTCACAAAGTTTCGTTTTTATTATCTGTTCACGAATGACATTCCACGTGCATGCAATATTTATTTGGTTATTATTGTACCTTACTACCAAAGGGTTTTTGGCCCATGTGAAATGTTGACATTTGACGCAGGCAATCAACTCTATGGAACTCTCTTGCGGGCCTAAAGCACAAGCGATTTTTGTGGTTTTCTCTGGGAAAAAACGTGAATGGTATTAGCAGGATAATATAAATAGAGTCGATTGAATACAGAAAGACCTAGACGGACATACGATTTATATACAGAAAACTGTGCAGAATATAAAATCATTTTCTAGAATTGGTCCATCATAGATCTTATGGGATCTATATGTCTTCAAGTCAATTAAACGATGAGGTCGTTTTATCTATTATTTAAGAAGAAATAAACTAAACAAACCCCCCATAAATGAAATATATCACACAATTTTATAACTTATTTAAAGATATCCATTTAATATCATAAATGTACAAAAGTAATCTTAATTATTACTTAACACCCCTCTTCTCATCCCAAAACAGAGTTTACATTTTGGAATAATCGTCTCAAGAATCTATCGTTCATCTACGACCAATTGCGCAACGAGCGCATTCGAGCCATGGCTCTGATACTGGAGTACTCGATGAGCGCCTACCATCCGTGCTTTCAGACCCTCTTCAAGAACGTCGTTACGGGTGAGAGTCGAGTACCATGCCATGCCACATGAATGTGCTTTTTGCATGCCAACCAGTAATTTGCATTTGATTGAAACTAAATCATCATCATAGCTCTGGCGGAGGCAAAGGACATAACACTCTATTTGAATCCGCTGAAACGTCCGCTACAGCACTTGGAGGAGATTGATTTTGCCGAATGCAAGCCCCTGCTCATACCATTCATGAATATCGTGTGCATTTTGTGGGGCAACTCCCGTTACTATTGTCAGTCGGGCAAAATCACAGTCCTTCTGCAGGAGATATGCAATTTGATTATTTACCAGGTAGAGGCAATCGATGATGGCAATCGGTGATGCAATTCTTGTACTTGATTGATTTCAGGCCAAAAGATACTTGGATCCATCGTCCATATTCCACAGCGATATCGATGAGGCCATGCAACGCCTCACTCTGTCCATACAGATATTAAAGTTCTTTCGGGAACTGTTCGACTATTATAAGGAACGCCTGGCCACATTCTTTACGGAGCCCGAGGAGCGGCCACCGATTTTATGGACTTTTCATCCAAATTCAGTTTTCAAGCGCTTTAATGCCTTTCTCGAGCGCCTCACAACAATTCAGTGGTAAGTGGATTGGAGTTTATTTAAAGTTTACAGACTTCCAAATATTATTTTCTATTCATTTGAAGGTTCTTTTTTACTGTGATTGAATTCCTGAAATTAGAGAAGGTCGAAATCGGTGGACTGCGAGGCCGACAGCTGAGCACACGCATCACAGATGTCTATGTGGAGTTTAATCAATATTTCACGGCCTTTGCCTCGAAGAGCTATGATGTCCTGGATCCGGACGATCATGAGTTTGATGAAGACTTTAAGGGTTTTCAGACCCGCATACTTGAGCTAGACATGAAGCTGGCCGCCATATTGTGTCAGGCCTTTGACGATTGCCACAATCTGGAGAGCATTTTCAAGGTATAACATTGAGAATTGGTTACCCTCTTGTTTTGTTTCTAATTCAATGTGTCTTCCAGCTGATTAGCATTGTGGGCAGCGTCCTAGATCGTCCCAAGATCAAGGAGGAGTTCACCCAACGATATGCCGAAATCGTGCGCATGCTCGACGATGAAATGACCGTGTGCGAGGCCATCTATGACAAGCAAATGGAACTGAGTCGCGAGGGGGACAATCTCTATCCCAACTACAATTGTCCGCCAGTGGCTGCCTTCATACGCTGGTGCCATCAGCTGGAGACCAGAATCACGGCCCCAGTCAAGCACTTCAAGGCACTGCAGCATGAGTAAGCATCACATTATCATCAGATATCTAATCCTACAATTAATCAAATGTTGTTTTGTAGAATCACCAAGACAGAGAAATCATTGGAGATCGTTGAACGCTACGAGTGTCTAATGGTTAAGCTGGGATCATGCAAGACCAAGTTCTTTGATGACTGGGCCCAACAGTTGGCCGGACAAATTGAAGAGAATCTCAAAAAGTCCTTGATAGCACGCGATCGGCGCAGCCATTCCTTGATCCTGAACTTCAGTTCCGCCCTGTTTTCCATTCTGCGCGAGGTGCACTACATGCAGCAGATGAAAATCGATGGCGTGCTCCAAATAGCCATAGACTTTGCCGAAAATAGTGATGTCTTTCGCTCGTACACCCTCAACCTGGAGAAAACCATTGACTGGTACAACAGCATACAGGAGGGCAGCTCTCCCGTAGAGCTTCGACTGATTGAACCAGAGATTAAAACCATTGATGACCTGGTTACAATCGGAGTGGATGAGCTGGTTTGGAATTCATCAGGTAATAAGCCAAGAAATCCTTTGAGAAATCCAAAGCTAAGTAATCCTTTTCTTGTAGATATCATGAGTTATCTGGAGAAGCTGCGCCAGCCTGTGGCCGCTCTACAGAACCGCATGGATCACACGCAGGGTAATCTTCGACAGATACGCAAAATCATGGGCGTCTGGGCCAAGCATCCGTTGTTCGAGCGAAGGGACTGCAAAAAGGACTCGGTGCTG